CGTCGTGTACATATTTTAAGACGCCGGTAAACTAACTTGCTTTTTTGCGTCGTCTAGCACGTTAGCAAGCTAAAATATTCTAACCTGATAGCGCCACGGTAGTTTTTACTACCGCAAAAAATATCATGTAAATTGCATGTAGTTGACTTTTTAGCAATTTTCGTGGACAGATTGTAGGATAGTCGCAAAGGTCGTGTTTGCCGAACTATATCATCATGATGTTTGCTTCCGACATGCAGTAAACTCGCAAAATGGCATCTCCAACAGATATGAGAAATACTTAAAAAAAATTAATAAAATAAAAAACTATTTTATCCACAGTAATTTATTTGCTCTACTAAAGTTTCTTCATTTATGACAAATCGTAATGTATACTTTTTTTCAAACGATGTATTTTCGACAAATTTTTACGGTATATTACGTTACATTGGAAAAAAAAACCGAATAAAATATGAATATTCTATTTGAAGGTACATAGGGGATATTTAGGATGTGTCTGTTTAAAAATATTTTTTATTATTCAGTGTTGTAAATACAATTTTCTGTTCAGTCACCTTTTTCTGGCTTTTAAACAAACGCGCTCTAATAAAGCAGATTGTGTAAACTATGCCCTTTGAGTGCAATCTCAATAAACAAATAGATTTTGTAGAATAGAATAAATCGAAGTGAACAGCGGGAATGCCTAGATACCCAGATTCTATTCATCTGTGCACAACAAACATGTATATTTTGAATTTAAACTTGGAGAGCACAATACTGTGGGAGCAGTTGGCAACATAAATAAAGCATTTGAAGGGAGATACTCTTAAATAACAGATAACGTGGAATACTATTGAGAAATTCCACGTACTCTGTAGTACTGCCTTTGAAAATAAGGATGATTAGTTTCGTCCGTATAAAAACGATCTTCGCGAGAATGATGTTGGAAATAAAAAAGAAATATTAAATAAAGCGAAATTGTCCATTTAATTTTAGAGATATCTCATTTTCAGAATATCAAGCTAACAATAAGTTAAAATAAGTATCGAAGAACGTTTAAGGAAAAGGGGAATAAAAATTTTCAGAGCCCCGGGATACAGAAGTATCCCGAAGAACCTTAAGGAATTTACGAATTCAAGAGACGAAAACTTTTGACATTTCCAAAGTCTCTATTTATCCAAAGTGTCGCGTAGATCGAGGTCAGTTTTTGACACATACGATTTCTACCGGATCGCATCGTCATCAGACGGGAGAGACGCGATCTTCCGCCCGTTGCTCTCGTCGCGCGACTCTGATTTTATTTACGCGCGTTTGGTTCCCTGCGCCGCCCCATCGCATCGGCGCCAGTTCACAGGCCAGCGGCGCGTGAATGAACGAGCGAAATGATTTGTTGCAGGTGGTGCGAGCGGCCAGCCCGGTTTTGTTGCGCGTGATTGTTCTGGGGGCCTTCTTCATATACTGCACGGTAAGTAGAAGCCTTACGTCGCGCGACGCCTCGCGCCTCGCCTCGCCTCGCCTCACCTCACCCCATCTCGTCTCGTCTCGCCCCGTCTCGCCCCCGCATTTTCCCGGAGTGTTTCATATTCATGAGGGTCGTAGCGTCGTCGTCCGATAACAAAGCCTTCTCACGCCCGTACTACCGGGAGTACCGAGGCGGCGGTTCACAGAAGCCGTTCTCTCGCCACCGCAGCATCCTGCCGGTTGTTACCGCATCTGTCGCGGCGACTGCGCCCCTATAATGTATGCACGTGCACCCCATGCGCCAATTATGATAACGCATAATTCGCGATATCGCCGCGCGCATTGGTCGCAAACATCGTGTATTCACTATTAATGGCCCTCATGGCTTTACTAATTAAAGCAAACGTACCGAATGTATCGTCCAGATGAGGAGACACGTATATCCATATATCCCTCGGTCTATGAATTTCTCGCGGTCTAGAAATCTCGCTGATCCATCAGCTTTCTATCCAGACTGTAATTACGACTTCTCCCGCGATCCGCGATAACTTTTGAAATATCCCAGAGTTATAAAGTAGTAACGTTATCTGCGTTAAATTGGGGATCTTTGCAATTAAGCCGTTAATCAGATTTCACTCGAGAGTTGTCAGAGTGATTGGAAATGGCGCGTCCCAAGTCTCATTGCCAGAAGCGAAGGGATGACGCTTGTTATTATTCATCGTTATGCTTATTATACGCGGATTATTATCGGATGATGCATGCTCTCCTACAGCCAGCGTGTCGGAAGCTCGCCCTTTCTCGTTGTCAAGCGCCATAGATCACGTAGCAGCATAAAATAATTCCAGACATCGTATTCTAGGTTGTTCTGAGTTTTGACCCGTAGTGACGGTTGCTGTGACACGTATTCCGCGCACGTTCTTACGTGATATATCGGGTTGATAGCAGAATTTCTATCACATTTCGCAAACCTGCTTTATCGAATCCGAAACGGATCCCGACGACGAGAAGTCATTTGTATAAACGTAAACTCCAGGGATCTCCCGCAAATGCACCATCTACGCTCGCCTTTCGACGGAACGACCTAGGATATCCGTTTAAGTCAACGCGAGCAGCAATCCACGAAATGCTTAATTAACGATTCATAAGACATTTAATTTAGCTTGATAATTCCCATCATACCGCGGTGTAAATGCGGTTCATCATCATTAGAATATCTTACGTAAAAATTGAGATGGTTTAGCTGTAGTTATTCCGCGCTGAAGAACGCAATCGTTTTATTTCAAAAGTGCAAAAAAACGACTAAATTCGTTCTTGCAACGCTGAACTAAATGAATTTTTTACATTCACCGCTATGTTCGTTTCAGATTTCTTTTCCTTATACAAAAAGATTTCTTTTTTTAATATTTTTAAAAGAATTTTGAAGCAGAAAATAATTGAAATGTTTCTAGAGAATTTTCTTCTAACATCATTATACGAAATAAATAATATCGCTTCTTTACTTTGAAAAGTGACGTAATTGAAAAATATGTAATTTTCGAGTTATGTGAATGAGTTAGACAAATATTATCCTCAATCACATTGAAAGTAAACTATAACTTAACTTTATAAAAACTGTTACAAAATTGTTACAATAAAAAAAAATATTTTTTAAGGGTTATGAAATGAAAATGATATGATTTGATTATATTAGGAATATTCTTTTTGCAGAGAGAGAGATTCATTATCTGATTGATCTGTAATTTTCTTACCAGTAATTGTCAAGTTGAAAAACACTCCTTTTTACTCCTTTTCTGGAAAACTTAATCTTTTGACTTTTGTCACTTTTAAAATAAGAGAACGGTATTGTTTATTTCATATTATTAATATATAATTGTATATATATATATATATATATATATATATATATATAGAGCATAAATCAGTAAATTCATCAGTTCTAATGTATCGAGACAAGAACTGTTTTATGTATACGTTTCACTGTAAAACTATTAAATGATAAACTTTCAACTGCAGTAATTAAACGGAAACTGGCGCAGGCATTCGCTGTTTACGAGAGGTGTTTGTACTGGAAAGTAGTTATGTGACACTCACTTACACTAAAGTTGTATACAATACACAACATCTCCAGGAATTGTAGAATTTACTACGAAAGTTTAGTTAAAGTGACAACAAGTATGTTCCCAGTGAGTTCTGTAGTCCCGCGTGGTATTCGGATCAACAAAAATTAAACCTATAGTTGGCACAGTCTGCCTGGAAAGGACGGAAAGCGGAAACGTGCGGACTCTCTCTCTCTCTCTCTCTCTCTCTCTCTCTCTCTAAAGTATAATAATATTCTTTCCCGCGTGATATCTAAACGTGATATAACATACTTAAACGCGCGCACAGATGCTCGGAGACGGATTTCCGCGAGTATCAAGCCATGGACGCGGACGCCACGTGTAAGCGTCGTGCAACGTGACTCTCTCCGTTAGAATGGCGACGACGTGATTTTTCTTCCGCTGGAGTAATGGCACGGCCGTGAAGGGGTTAGTATCAAGGTGCGCAGCAGACATTTCGAATGCTCCAAGTTGGTAGCTCGTCACTCGTCGAGATGGAAACGTGCCTACGTATATAATGTTTGCTCTTACGAGGTACGAACTCCCGGATGGCTTCGCTTAAATTCGGAGTACTATTCTTAATGGGACGTCATTTGCCCGCTTATGGAAGGTCTTCCGTTTCTCACTAAACTTCGGTATTATATCTCGCCAGGAGTGAGAGCTGCCGGTATAAATCGCGCGATACAGCTTGGAAAGTCGGATGGAAACCACCGTCGAATTTTGCGGTGCGTGCGAGCTGTCTGTAATTTCTCATTGTTCTCATTTCCGTCCGCGGCGTCTGATTGAAGATAGAATTCTGTTTCGTAATTTTATAATATTTCCGGGAATTTGGGCTTAATTTTCGAACGTGAAAGAAAAAAATTACGGCTTACCTATTCTAGAAAGGAATTTATTACATTTTTTTGTTATGCGCGTACACCTTTGTTGAGTTTTTATTATATAAACGTATTTTCAATAGACACAGGTATACGTAACAAAATATATATATTTATGTAAACTGTCCTCATAGGCTCCGTTATTATCAATATATTTATTTTATATTTTAACAATTTTTCTCTGCTATTCTATTTTTCTCTGCGATAATCATTAGTTTTCGAGATTTCTAACATGTCTATGAATCCGTACTGGAGTCTGGAAGTTTATGCGATGTCAGAGCGTTGTGTTACACAAAAGAAAAATCGCTTCAAAGTGCTCGTTCAGCAAGAATTCTGTTTTCTTTTTTCGCTCTGTATTCTCCCGTATACTTTTCATAACGGATTTTTCAATATTATTCGAATGTTATTTCTATGAATGTTTTTTTTTTTTTTATATAATATTGATAACACAGTAAAACATTCTTATAAATGTCTCGAAATAACTTTAGTCAGAGTAACAAAATAAAAAAAAAACTTTTTTCATCCTTATTCCTTTTTTATTTGTTTCGTCACCTTGGGGAACATAAATAAAAAACTAGCGTTTCGATAAACAAAAGCAAAATAGACATTTATAAATTGATGTATCGAGGCATACATTAAATGTGTGATAATATTTTAATAAATACAGTTATATTTTGCTTTTCTATCGTAATACGCACTCGATGTATCATAATATATCATTTTCGTATTTGCTATGTTAAACATGAATTATTTAGATATTAGTTAATGGGGTGAATTTCAACGTTATAAATATCCATTCGATGTATCCTCTAGCTAATACATAAATAATATACGCGCATAGACGGCGATTCGATGAGTGTTCTCGTCACAGTTTCAAAGGCGCGTATCTAAAGTGCTTTAAATATTATATTCTAATTACGTAATTACATACGCCGGGAAGCGTCAACGCTGTAACGAGGTAATTTATCGGAATGATGTTGTTAAAATTTACACGATTAATAGAAATGGGACGAGTATCCGGTACAGATGTATAACACAGATGTATAACACGCTGAAATCATAATTGCTGAAAATTGCTTATGCTGTATCACTTTGCAAAACATGCCATTGCTTGTTGCAGACTATAGTTATGTATCCCAGGCCAAACATCATCACGTGCACCGTGCGCGTATGGTTACGAGAAATTGGCTTTTCTCTCACATACGGGGCACTCATGCTCAAAACGTGGCGGTAAGTGTGCTTCACTTCTTGATGACATTACATTTTGCTCGTTTCGTGACCATTTTCTTTATTCGTTCCGTCAACAAGAGCAGTTGAACGCATCGTTCTCCAGTTGAACTTCTATTGTATCACAATGATAATTATATAATAATTATATTTATTCTTTTTATCTGTTATATCATTTATTTATCTTCACGTTCCCTCCTCATTTCCTGTTTACGATGTAATAACGAGTATCAAAACTTTCCTCTTACGCTTCATAAAGCTGTAATCGTCAAGTTTTAATTACATTTTAATTATTTCATGACTTCTTTAGTTGGACTTCTTTAGTTGGACTGCCAAAGCGCAAATTTTAAAAAAAATAACCGAGAACTGTAATTTTTGTAGTCTACTACAATTTTTATAACGTTCTTTCATGTAATTTTTGTGTGTGTGTGTGTGTGTGTGTAAAGATTTATTGGGATTCATACAATATTTATAACTAACTCGTTTGTTACCAATGAAAAAAATAACTGTGCCGTTCAAACTTTACGCGGATGCCCATGGAATATTAATAAATCTATTTAGACCTATACAAAATACTGGTTGATTTCTGGTGTTAGCATTGAATCCATAAATTCTCTGGTTTGACTGCGAGTCGGCCAGTCAGTCGAAAAAAAAAAAAAGAAAGAAAAGAAACAAAACTAGAAGTCTAGGTAAAAAATGGATCCGATGAGATCCGCTCATGTTATGCTTGCAGAATATCCGTGATCTTCCGGGTGAAATCGGCAAAGGCCGTAAAAATAACAGACGCGAGCCTGCTGAAACGGCTCGGTATCATCGTCCTGACGTTCAGCGTGTTCCTAAGCATAAGGACATTGGTCGCACCGCCCGTCGTGATCGTCGCACGAACTGCCGACGATCTCAAAGCGTATCTCTGCCGAACTGACTGGTGGGACCACAGTTTTACCACTCGTGAGTACCGTGGACGGTATCGCTGTGTGCTGTGCATAGAAAAGAGATATCGACTCGCTTAATCCTTCGCTGTACGCTCAATGCCTTCGATACCACGGACTTTTGTAATCGTAAGCTGTATCGTAAGCTCCAGTGAAATATGAGCACGTTGCAGGGTTCTATCGTGTATATGTGTATATATATATATATATATATATATATATATATATATATATATATATATATATATATATATATATATATATATATATATATATATATATATATATATATATATATATATATATATATATATGTGTGTGTGTTATGTACATATGGTATAGGGAGTAGGTGGCATTGGATTAACTTTGCTTTTGTGGAATGATCGATTCCTCGCGTACACGTAAGAATGCGATCGAAAGTTAGAGAGTTTCTGATGAATTAAACTCCGAGCTCGCTTTTCACCTCAAGCGCCTTCAGCGCTCTCGAAAGCTTATTTACTGAAATATTTAATATAGAAAGTTGCGAGGCGAATTACGCTGGGATGGATGGCGCTCAAAATAAATAAGTCGGGATTCTCGTCCCGAATTCTCGCCGAGGAATCTTGTTTAACGGCGGGGAGGGACAGAAGGGGGAGGGGGGGGGGGGGGGGGGGGGGGGGGGGGGGGGGGGAAACAAGGGCACAAAAATGCGCGAAGTACCTCCGGGACATACCCGCGTAAATGAGGCGTGAAAGTGGGCATCCGTCTCTCAGCGTAGCCCTGGCTTCGCCATATCCATAAGTTCCTGTATTATACGTGGCAGGTAGCATTAGTTCGCATTACCCATCCCTGTTGTCAGTTATATGTGCCTCTGTCTACTTTGTAAAATGTTTACCGAGTCTCTATCATGACGCGCTTCTCTCCCGTCAGGAAAATTGCTCTTGGCGGTGTATCAAATTAATTTACATTAAATTAGTATTTAGCGATCGTATCGTTGTATGCATGCACGCGCAGTTAATATGGCATTATGAAGGATTAAAGCGTATTAGCGACAACACAAAGTATAATACGATACACATGTATAATATGTAATGTGGAAAACCGTGTGCACATGTGGAGCCATATTGATTTAGTAATACTGCAGATGGTCAAACGCGATTTTAAATCAAGATGGATAGTGTAGTACGTACCGTGGCTTCGAGGGAAACCTTGTATTATAGTTAACTCGTATTCATCTGTCGTCGGAGAGTAAGAGGTATTAGTTTTCCTATAACTTCTCCAAAGAAATGGAATTAATCTGTAAATCTTGCGCAAACACACCGATCAGTATTTTCACATAGTTTCATTTAGTTTGAAGAAGGCTCTTAATTCCTTAAATCCCTCGCAATTTTACATTTCATTCAAGAATTTAACTGAAATGCATAATGCAAAAGTATCTACGATTATCTTGCACCTGACAATTCTCAGAAATTCTTCAATCGGAGCACTCGGATTATCAAATTATTCAATTCATCCTACGATTTACAGGGTCGTAACTAAGAACTCGCATGCGTTTGCTTCGACTCTTTCGCACACGTATGTGAACGGAGAACGGAAATGGAAAAATATTTCGGTCACACATATATATGCAAGTAACGCTAACTATGATTCTGCGGGTCTTTGAGTAAAACATTTAGTTTGCCATTGAGACTAATGTGACTTGGAATTTCACGTGATTTCAGTCGAGGTGATGTTCCTCGTGTGGGGCATCCGGTTGTGCATCGTAGTAAGAAAGACTCCGTCGGAGTTTAATGAGAGTCGATTCATTTCAATGGCGATTTACAACGAATTTCTACTATCAGTCTTCCTCAACGTTTCAATGTAAGTTTGCGTTATGATATCTTTTTCTCTCTATTCATTATTCCGAATGACCGATTACAACTTATACGAGAAGTATTTGCAAAGCTCCGTCTCACTTGTAATATTATTCGTAACATGAGATGGTGAAAACCGTTTTTCCAAACATTGAAAGAACTCTATCAAACGTATATTTGAAATTTAGTTTTCGCGAATTCACTTTAGTGTTGCAATGATAGCGGCTTTTTATATTTAAATGTAATTAAATGCCGGAATTTTATATTTCAAGAGTTTAACGGTGGAATGCATAATGTAAGTCAATTTAAAGCGACCCTTATTTTAAATGTAAATACTGTGTCGACGGTTTTACAACGTGTCCCATCTTAACTGCAATTTAATGACAGGTTCTGACTTGACGAATTTATAATCAATTTTTTTCTAACTGACTCTTAGTATTACAATTTACTCCAATTTTTAATGCACAAGATTACATGGCGTGACGATAAATTTTAAAATCGCAATTTTACCTCTGTTACTCGAGCGCTTTTCCTTTGTTAAATTTTCCGTCCAATTTTCTTATTAAGAAAAGAGGAATTTGCATCAAACGCATCTGTCGTTAAAACTTAATGCAATCAAAGATGTGTGGTTTCCCGATCTACGAATGCAATTTGAATTTTTGAATTGGAGAAACAAATAAAAATAATAAGATCTGGGACACTAACACACTACTGGCCCGTTCTTACGTCATGGTAACGCTTCGTGCAGCTAACAGCTCTGAATAATTTCTTTTCCGCTGCTGCAGGTTGTTCCTGCAATCACCGGCCAATCCGGATTTATTGTACATCATATTTTTCTGCCATACCCAGCTTACCGTCACATTGCTGCTTTGCCTGATATTCGGCAGTAAAGTAAGAAATATTATTTATTACAGCTTTACCGTATGACAATTATTACGTTTTACGGCGCACATTGTTACTTCAGTTGATCGTTTGTGTCGAGAACTTTACTCCAAAATTTTTATAATTTTAAATTCTATATAGTAAATTATTCAAATATTACAGTTAAATATGTATTAATCCGCAAAACAGTTTTAAACGCGTTAGATTAATATATATTTTGTGAATATAAATTTGTAAAAACATTGCATCTTTGAAATATTGAATATAGGCTGAAGATAGCTCTAAAGAATTTATTCTCAAAATATTTTTGAGTAAACTTTATTTTATTTAAAGAAAAGGTAAACAGGCTCACATTTTTTAATGTAATTGATCTGTAAATAAATTCTCTTCTTGTTCGAAATTTAGTGAGAAAAGCAAAATAGAAGTTGAGGTATCGTATAAAGCTAAAATTCAATTCAATCAGCACGAATGAGATTAAATCGTGCAATTTCCGCTTCGTTTTCTATTTGCTTCTCTCTTTCCCGCTCCCTCCTCCCCTCCCCCTCTCTCTCTCTCTCTCTCTCTCTGCAAAATTACTGCAAAGTCCTCTTACTAGCTTGAATAGAAATCCCGGTGCCGTGTAAGTTTGGTTGTTACATACGTCGCATTTAACGAAGGCTTACGTGGTATTCCGCGATGGAGGGAAGGAGGAGACGATTGGTAAACTTTGTGGCGCGACCGGCAAGTTCTTGGGGAAAAGCAGTCGTCCGCAGGGTACTAGTAACCAGACCAACTCGATATCGCTTCAGCAGGGTAATTTCGCCGAAGAAAGCGACTCTGTCACGGTAAGCACCCCGGTAAACCAGTTGGATTCTCTGGTCTCCGTGGAGCGTATCCGAAACTGTACACTTCCCCTTTCCTAAATATAATCTGATCTAAATCTAGACTTGCAGCAAATTGCGATTGTATTGTTCTAATGCTAACCTAATTTTCGAATTATAAAGCGCGAAAGTTTCAAACTTTTAAAGTTTTAAAATCCTAATTCTTTAAAGCTTGAAACTTTAAGGTTTTGTAACTTGTAATCTTATTCTGGCTCTTGAAACTTTTTAATTTCAAAATATTGGACTTCTTAAATTTTAGAAATTTTGGAACTTCAAAATTATGACATCTTGTTAAAATTTGTTATCTGAAATTAAAAAAATTTTTACACTAGAATTTTAGATTATAGATGTAAGATAAGAATGGCAAGAGACAGCAACTTCTTTCTAGGAGGAATTCCGCCGTTTGCTCAATCAGTTAGAGATCCTGAAGGAGAAGAACATATTATTAGGAAATCAGGAGCTGTCCAGGAAGCTGGCAGCCATGCTGGACGCTTCGAATCGAGTCGAGGCTCAAGTATCCACTATTCAAGCTATTTCGACTAGCATCGTTCAGTTGAATGATCTCAATAAATCGACGAAAGAAACTAATCTCGGACAAGCTTGTCAGGAGCAGACTCAAACAGGTAAAAAATAAACTTTAAAATAACATGTATTGAATTTTTTACAAAAAGTTAGCGGGATTGTGAAATATGTTGTAACTGTTTTTCAACGTTAACGCAGTCGGAAATAAAATCTCGTCAATAAAAGTTCTGTATGAACTGAAGAGAAACCTTTTATTTATATATTACATTCAGAGCTCGAAGCTAGCATTGCTAGCAGTTGGAAATAAAATCAGAGGAATTTATCTGTTTTAAAAATGACACAGATTTACGAATGATCGTAGCTTTGGAGACGGAGGATAAAATTAGAAAAAGTGGAAATTCTGACAAAAGCAGTATATATGGCCCGCATATTTCATTTACATTTAAAGTTGGAAATTAAAGGGCAAGAACTGCGAAATTGTTTCTGATGCATTGAAAGATCAGAAAAATGAAAATGAACGGCATTATAAAGTAATCTGTCTCGAGAATGTTGCTCGGTTAAATTAATTTTATTGTAAAAACTGGAAGTCTAAACGAGAGTTTTATTTATTTACTCTCTTCCTTTGTACCCGTTCAGGACGCTCTATTAATTTTTCATTACATTCCGTGAAGTCCTGCGGGCAGATAATTCTACCTTTGTTTAGGAAACGGTTCTCGGAGCGAAAATCGATGTCGCGCATGTATTGAGAAAAATGGGCTTGGAGGAAAGGATGTGCGCGATATGTCGAAGGATAATGAAACGCCAGAGTCGAGGAAAATCGGAAAAGACATCGCCGTGTCAACATCCTCGAAACACCCTATTGAGGACGTCGACAGGGAAATGTGTCACGGAAAAGAAGGCAAAGAATCTGATTCGAAGGACAAATCCAGGAGTAAATCCGGTCACGCTAGGACACACGCCATAGTTATCAACCTCGACGATAAGAGCAGATTTTCCGAGGAAGTTACCGTCTAACGTTATCTTTAAGTAAAAAATAAACGGTTAATGTAAATGCAATTTTCCGATATTTCTGTAATTAACGATTTTATCGTGAATGAAACATTATTGACCGTTTTTGTTGAAAATTACGATTGTTAATCACAGATTTTTAAAAAGGTTGACATTTTCCGATGAATTAATTAGCACGGAATTCCATCAGATACAATTATTTAAAAAAAATTTATCCGTTATTAATAATGTAATAATTGATTCTATGAAGAAAAGACAAAAATTCTAGTTCGTTCCAAATACAAATTTATACCATGAATAATTTAAAACCGACACTCGAAAGAAATTTTTCTGAATTAATAAGATTGATTAATTCCTCAATTGTTATGAGCGTAATAATAGTTCTAATACAAAGTTGAAAATTTTTAATGTCGAAGAATGTCTCGAAGATCGTTATAGTTAATTTGTTGAAACGATGATGTTGAAATGATTGATCTGAATGAAAGTTAATTAAGAGATCGTTTAGTCATCGTGAATAATCGTTCGCATATACGTTAATGAAAGAGTCACGGCACATATCGATTTTTCATATATTTCGGTGTATATCAAGTATCCGTGAAATAATAAAAAAATTGAAATATTAAATTAATCACATCGTTTGGCGTTTTTAAGCGAGACCGATCGCGTTCTAGTGCGTCATTAATGAACCGTTCATTAACCCTTAGGGAGTAATCCGCCCTTTCTAGCAGCAAATCGATCTCGGGCTACGGGCTTTCCAAGATCAAAATGTGCTTCATCAGCGTGTTCGCGGATCACAAGATAGCCTGCACCTATAATTATATATTAATGTAAAAGCAAGTAAAGGATAAGGCTCATTAACCCTTTCCAGCTCTCCAATGCCCCATGGTATTATTAAAATTATATCGTTTTAATTAAGTTCTTAAGAATGTATTAAATATATGTATAAAATATGAAATATGATATATTATGTTATATAATTATAATAATTATGTAGTGTAAAATAATATGAAATGTGCATTACACTATGTTCCATGATGTTGATTATGTTGTATTATATTTGTGTTAGCGATACTGTATTGTATTATATTACAATCAGAGATTATGATTAAAAAAAAAAAATAAATGTAAACATAAATTTATCTAGGAAAACAAATTTCCGATATAAAAATAATAATAATGGGCTTGAAAGGGTTAAAAGAAACAATTTTTATGCTATTTTTTTGCTAACGACTTTACATGATATGTGCAGACATCGGTAATGATTCGCTCAATAAATTTGCAAAAATTCGAATAGTTATATATTTGAAACTCTCAATCTGTGAAAATGCTTGAACTATCTAATTCGCATAATTAATATTCTTAAACGCTCAAGTTGATCCAACTTGAATGAATCGTGCTTCTTAAATCATTAAGAAACACTACTTTTACTTCGTGAAATATTTTAATTTTGAGTATTTTAATTTTGGAATTTTAATTTATCAATTATTTTTTATTGAATACCATATTTCATTTACCATATTTATTTTCTATAATCAAAATTTTGTATTAAATTTCTTCTAAGTATCCAATTTGTTACTATCCAATTATTAATTCAAATAAACAGTGATACAAAAGTAATTCATGTCCATATACATTGCTCGCTGTGACGTGGATGTTACTTTAATAATTACCACCGTTAACCGTGTAGCTTATTGTATACGTACAGTTTAAGTCAACGCGTTATATTGTAAATAATGAAATGCATGATTAATCGATTAATTAATAAAGACGAGATGAATGAAGTTTGAAAAACAATTTTGCATTTTGCTAAATAATAATCTTGAATGTTTTGAATGTAACCAACCAATTAATTCTTTCAGAATTTGAATTAAAAGGTAAGTAATGTTGTTCTACAATTGTTAAGATCTCATGGTTATTAACATCTTTACGAACAAAAAATTTATTTGTAGAAAATAATATAATTGAGACAAGTATTTATTTTTATGGAAACCGAACTCTCTCTCTCTCTCTCTCTCTCTCTCTCTCTCTCTCTCTTCATTATCTCGACGATATTTGTGGGAAAATAATTTTTTAATCCACTCAAAGCAACTCCAAAATCCAGCTTATTAACAATAAGCTAAACATCTCGTTATGAGAAATTCTCAGAAATCTCAGGATTAGAATTCAGGTTAATTCTCTATAGTTCGTCTTTTAACAAAAAGACGATAGCGATTAAATGTGTTCTCGACTCGTTAGTTAAATTAAGCGTCAGTTATAGAAAGAGTCGGATAGTAAAGATTTTCCGTCTCAATCAGACAATTTTGTGCAAAAGATCTAGGTTAAAGGATCCAAGACAAATCTGCCTGTCTTTCACCTAATGAAATTTGCAGCGAAGGTTTCTTCGAGTAGATCGGATTACGAGAAGCAGCATCTTCGCACTTCATACATACTAATACGGTATGTATTCGAGATGCTTGACAATCAGATTCTCAACTGCTATTTTCTTCTTTGTCCCATAAGCCCGTCAATTAGGTACTTCCAATAAAGCATTCTCGTACCTCAACAGCTTGATCGTTTGCCAGAGCGTGGAAGAAGGAAGAGGAAGTAGCGAGAAAAAACTTTGTGAGAAGATGTGAGGGAAAGGAGAAAGAAAGTGCTTCCTTCGTTACTTCCGGCGAAGTTCTATTGACTTCGCTATAGCGGGAGGAGGTTGGCTCCTCCTGCTTTGCCATCGTACGGACTGTGTTTTACAAATTGCGTCCGTACAATAAATGTGCCAATCCTGTCCCAATTGCCCCCGATAAAAAAGAAGCCGTAGATACGTGCCCTGTACGATATGTTGGGATCACGACAGAGACTACGACGATGAAAGCCCGCCGTAGTTTCGTATTGATTTTCAGGTAAGAATACGCGGCTATCGCTCGCTCGTTGAATTATCGAGTGCCCGATGCGGAAGAAGAACCTCTCGAGGTTCACTTCTGCGAGCTTTCTCTCGAATTGATTCGGTCAGTTGAAATTAGTCATTTGGTTAGCCTTTTACTACGTGTGAAACGGAAGCGTAGACGAATGTATCGCTTAAAACAGTACAGGAAGATGGATTGAGGCGATGTAGCGTTCGGTGTAAGAAATAAGATGTGCTCGTAGGCCTGTTTTTTTTTTAACTTCTTGCATGGTTTATCTTTTCTCTTTTTCTCTCCATATTACCAGATTTATATTTATATAACAACGTTTACTTAAAAAAAAAATTTATTATAACAGTTTTTCTGAAAACCAGGGTTAAAGTTAAAAAGTCAAATAATTGTAACTTAATTTGATTATATTTTAGAATCTTACATTTTATTGGTAACTATTAACTTTTAATTAAACTTTCTTAAAGTTAACTATTTCGACTCGTTTTCGACAACCTTTGAGGAAAAACGTCCGATAAAAATTTCGAAGTGGCTTTATTACTTAAATTTAATAAGTGTATGTATAAATATTTATATAGAGTATGCTTCTAAATAAAGGATATATTTGTTATTTCTGTTATTAAGTCTGAAATTTTGAAATCATGAAATGAAATAAATTTCACTTTTAACTTTTCAATTATTTTTTTTTATTAACTTAACTTTCAATTTTATTATGAGACAACTTGTATCTTAATTAATAAGTTAAATTTTTAAGGCTGTTAACTTAATTTAGTTTTAAAAAAGAGTTAACTTACCCAACCCTACTGAAAACATATAAAGGAATTTCACCGAAATCTAATAAACAATTGGAATGAGAAACGTATTATAAAAGCAATTTCTTCTATTATTCCCGAAATGATTTATAATGTTGGAACACAAATTTAATTCGACGGGCATGTCTTTATATTAGGAAAAAAACATTTTTAACACACGTTATTATAAATTTTAAATAAATGTTATTATACAAGTATAAATCTCGTATGACGTATAAATGCAATTTATCAATATGAATGGTATTATTTGTCAACAAATTTCATATTAATAATGTTAATATCAACATACTTTTCATTATAAATATTGCCAAATTTTATGACATTTTTCTTATACACATGCATATTAAAAAATAATCTATAACTCGACCAAGTGATATGTCTTTATTGTAACAAATTAAAAAGAAGAACCCAAGTAGTACTATTTTTATTATTTACTTAACCCTAATGATATATATTATTTTTATAAAAGATTTTTAAAAGTAACGAATAACAAAAACTTTTTTGCAAAAAGTAAAAAAAATTTGATGAATTTGTCAAAAAGTAAACTTTCCATAAACATTGTAGTTAACTTGTTTCTCTATATTAAATCTCATATCAAATTAAATAAATAATAAATATTAACTTTAATGATATACATCATTTGTATAAAAGATTTCGTCCAGTATGATTGAGGACTTAGTTCCGAGCAACTTGATAAGCGGAACATGCCGTGCAATCGTCAACATGAGTGTCATGCACAATTTCTCGTGTGACTCCAGCGAATTTTTCTAACAGGTTGCCGATTAGGATGATGCAGAAAGAGATTATCTCTATTTAGTCCCAACATTGTTACTTTCCTAGACATTTAATTTGAATCAGTGCGTGCCTTATGTCTTAATTTCTCTTAATACAATGTTAAACATTCGTTCTTATCAAATTGCAAAATTGATAGTCATAAAATTCAAAATGTTAGTATCGATGTTAGTACGATGTGAATCAACTCATAGAAGATTTGTATATAAAATTTGATTTATATATAAAAATTTACATATAAAAATTGAAAAGTGATTGAATCAAATAAATTTAATCAGCAAATTTAAGGATATATTGATTTCGGATATCTCAAGTCTTATCTTTTAAATCTTATTATCTCTAATGAATTTAATTTAACGTATAGAATCATAAATTGAATTTTATATAATTAAACCAGATATTTAATGTAGAATTAATTTGAATACTTAATAAAAGAAGCGATTGTAAAAAATAACTTATTTGTGATCTTCATTTGACGAACAATATTTATAAATTTTTATACATTTTTATGTCTATTGTATCAAGAAATAACGTTATGTAAGATCAAAAAAAGTTTTTCAGTCCATGTTCTCGTACATTCTCCTTCCTAATTGTCTAATTAAAAATTCAATGCAATATTGGCACAGATCTCGAAGGTATTTAAGGTCAACGGTTCCGTCGACATTATCGGTAGAAGACCAATCATGAGAATTATAAGAAACGACGCAGTATTGTTGAATCTTACACGCGATATCGATAACAAAAGAGGAATAGAGAAC